TCCCTTACTCTTTCTCACCCAGATGTTGATCTGTGGGAGAAGTAGACAGCAAACCAAGTGACATAGAAGATTGCAGCTGCTACCTCACCCTTCCTGCTGCAGGCCTGCTTGCTGCTACTGTGAGATGCTGGTGGCAGGGAGAGAAGCTGAATTCAATTAAGTCCCAAGTTTTCACAAAGATACCCATCTGGACGTTTTCTTTACTGATTTCGTTATGATTGGACTTGTCCCCTTCTATAGCTTAAAATAAACAGATACATCAAGGGCCTGGCCTAAAGTAGTGTCTAGGAAAAGCAGAAACATCTGAGGCTACAAAGCAGCCTTGAACAAAATGGTAGGGAAAAGAACAAAGAACAAAAGAACCCAAGTTCCTCTTGTGTAGGGTGGAGCCACAGCTTCCTACTGGGACACCAGGCGGCAGGAATGAGGGTGAGGAGAAAATGGAATCTCATGTCACTCAAAGGAGGACTGTGTTGATCAGCAAATCAAGTGTATTCTAGTCTTTATTATTTATACTGTATTGAAATTTTCCTATAGATTCTGAATGACCTTTTTTTTATCTTTGTGGGCAAGAGAAAATGTTTAATCTCATACGTCATCTTGCTGCTTTTTAAAATATAGCTTTGTTAAGATGTCATAGATCTAAATATATATATATATATTAATGTACTTGCGTACAGTTCAGTGGGTATGAGTGAATTCATAGATGTGTGCAAATGCCACTAGCATCAATTGTACATCACCCCCCCCCCCCCCCACAAGGGAACTTTCTAATCACTAGATGTCACTCTCCATCTCCCTCCAATAACCTTGGCCCTAGACTTACCTATTCTGGTCATTCAAATAAAGGTGATTCTTTGTGACTGGCTTCTTTCATTTGGCAGAAGGAGGGAGTGATGTAATGTCTTTGGAGAAGTTTCACAATCAATACATCTATAGAGTATTCTTAGGATTTGACTCTCCTTTCCAAATGACTTCAATTCAAGCGTCTCATATGCAAAAGACTGAAACATGGGTACCAGTCTTGCTGAAAAATCATTTTGTGAAACACCCTTTGTAATAATACAAGCTTCACCTGTAAGTAGATATGTCTGTTACTCTTTTTTTTTTTTTGGTCAGTCGTGGGGCTTGAACTCTGGGCCTGGGTGCTGTCCCTCAGCTCTTCAGCTCAAGGCGAGTGCTCTACTGCTTGAGCCACAGTGCCACTTCCGGTTTTCTAGTGGTTTATTGGAGATAAAAGTCTCACAGACTTTCCTTGCCTGGGCTGGCTTTGAACCGTGATCCTCAGATCTCAGCCTCCTGAGTAGATAGGATGACAGGCGTGAGCCATGGGCGCCCGGCTATGTCTGTTACTCTTAATAATAAAATGTATATATGTAGACCTTTGAAGTTGAGAATATGGGGTGCTGTTATCACAGGAGGTATGTTAGGAAAATATACCCACTTGACAGATAAGTAAAGCAAGTCCTACAACCCTATGTATGCCCTTTGTAACTCCAATACTTGGTACACTGGGGCTCGATCCAGGCTCTGAACTGGGCGATCTCAAAGGCTGTGTGCTTGATAGATGCCTCAGTTTGGCTGAGGTTTAACCAGAGTTTCATTTATTTTTTTAAACTATATTTTTATTTTCTTTAGGTAGTTGCTCAAAGGAGTTCAACAAAGCAGTTTCGACTATAGTACCTCTTGATCTTTCAATATTCACATCCACCCTCCCACCCCACTTCCCTCGCTTTTCTTAATTTTTAGGTTACGTATATTTTTTTTTTGCCATTTAACAGAGCAATTCATGTACATCCCTCCACATCCCCTTTCCATCTACCCCTTTCCTTGTTTTCCTCAATTCTGTGGCGTAATATACAATACATTCTTGCCTACATTCTACTCATTTCCCTGGTTCATTCTTCTACCTCTTTCAGAGTTTTAATAATAACAATAAGGTCATATATTTGCCTGAGCATTTGGCCAGAGGTTTTTTGTTTGTTTGGTTTTTGATCGGTCATGGGGCTTGAACTCTAGGCCTGGGCGCTGTCCCTCAGCTCTTCAGCTCAAGGCAAACGCTCTACCACTTGAGCCACAGCGCCACTTCCAGTTTTCTGGTGATTTATTGGAGAGAAGAGTCTCACAGACTTTCCTGCGTGTGCTGGCTTTGAACCATGATCCTCAGATCTCAGCCTCCTGAGTAGCTAGGATTACAGGCGAGAGCCACCGGCACCCAGCTAGGCCAGAGTTTTAATAATTATAAGGTCACATGCAAGCATATTCTGGGGAAAAATGCACGGTAATTTTGAAGTCTGTGTGTTCCGGTCCACATCATCCCTGTGGAGTTTGCACAGATCTAACGTAGGACAGACTGACTGACTTGTGGACAGCCCTTCTGGGGTGGGGTGGGGGGAATGCCCAAGATACTCTTTCATTTTGTTTGTTGCTCAGGCATTTTAGAAGTAGCCTCAGTTTTCTATTTGATCTCATATTTCTGCTTTGGCAGTTAGATTCAAGGTTCCTCCTCTCTTTTTGTTACAATTATGGTCAGTAAGTATAACTTGAATGTAGGGAAATCCCAGATTGTAGTTTAGATTTTTTTTTTTCTTTTTCTCGTTGTTTGGAGGTTTTGAGACAGGGCCTCTCTTTGTAGCCCAGGTTGGCCTTCAACTTGGGATCTTCCTGCCTCTCAGCCTTCTGAATGCTGGGGTTCCAGGGGTGCTACATCATACCCAGCTTTCTGTTAGCACAGTTTTGAAAACCGGAATCGTGCATGGAACCATCATGCAAGATAGGATGTAGAATATTTTCCCTTTTGAAAATTCCCTGCTTTCCTTTCCCAGTTAACATCTTCCCTCCACGTCCCCACCCAAGCAATCACTATTTTGATTTCTGTCTCCATAGATGATCGCATCTATCCACGAACTTGAAGCAAGGGAAAACACACAGCATCTGCTTTCTTTTGCTCAATGTAGTGTTCCTGAATTTTGTACTGTTGTTTTTGCATTCATAGTTTGCTCCTTTTTAATAGATGGACATATTCCATTGTTTACATATGCTACATTATATAATCACTTTATTACATTTAAAATACATGTTTTCATTTTAGAATAGCATACACACATATATGTAACAAAACCGCAAGACTAGAGCATGAAATTCCCATATACTCCATCTGCATGGAAATCCCATATACTCCATCCGCACTGAGTTTCTCCTGTCATTCAGACCTTACAAGTGAATGGTAGTGCATCACATATTGGACTCCTTATTGCTAGCTACTTCTTACTTATTGTCTCTTTTCTGTCCACCGACCGATCCATCCAGGATGCCTCATTACATTTAGCTGACAGGTCTACTTATGCTTCTCTGAACTGTAGTGGTGGTTTCTCAGACTTCTCTTGTTTTTTGATGACTTAACAGATTTGAGGAGCGTTCGTTGGGTGTTTGGGATGATGCGTTGCACCTGGCATTTCATTAAACTTTCCCCATGGAGCATTAGACTGTTACTGTGGGTTCAGAGCAGGGAGACCACAGAGGTAAAGTGCGATTCCCAAGCCCTGTCAGCACAGGCATGTGCTATTGACACGGCTGAGCGCTGACTCGACCTCTGTCATCTGGTGGATGTTCTGTTTGTCAGGTTTATCCCCTGGAAAGTTACTTCTGTCCCTTCTGCAAGGTCTTTTGGAAGGAAGTCACTTCACTGTGTGCGGCTCTCATTGAAGGAGTAGGGAAGTGAAAATTAAGTAGCTCCATAAATTATGTGGAATATTCCTGCAGATAAGGTTTATATTTAATTTTTAAAGCAACTGATGGTTTCTTAAGATTGATCATACCATTTTCTTTTTTGTCAGTTGTGGGGCTTGAACTCAGGGCCTGGGTGCTGTCCCTGAGTTTTTTTTTCCCATTCAAGGCTAGTACTCTACCACTTCGAGCCATGTGCCACTTTCAGTTTTATGGTGGTTAATTGGAGATTTAGAGTCTCACAGACTTTCCTGCCTGGGCTGGCTTGAAACCATGGTCCTCAGACCTCAGCCTCCTGAGAACCTAGGATTACAGGCATGAGCCACCAGTATGCCCGGCTCAATCATACTATTTTCTACCCACATGAAAGTGTCTAAAAGTCTAAGTGTACCTCCTTCTCATCAACATTTGGTACTATCAGCTTTTAAATTTTAACCGTTCTAGTTGGTATGAAATAATAGCTCACTATGGCTTTACTTTGTATTCATGATGATGAATTGTGTTGAGTACCTTTTCATATGGCTACTGGGTATGTCTTTAGTTTATTATTATTATTATTAATTCATCATAAGGTAAGGAATTATTTGAATATAGTTTCTTGGTTCAATATATTCAAGAAAATATTTTCTCCTAGTCTGTGGCAAGCCTACTGATGTGATAAATCATGTGTTTTGCTGAGCTGATTTGAGATTTTAGTGAAAAGATTCAGGGGTCCAATGGAGGGAGAACTGGACGCCATGTTATATGGAATGGTATGAATGGTTAGTGATTCTAACACTTTAAAAGTTTTTTTTTTCAAGATTAAGTGTTGTTTTGGTAGATACACAGGGCCATCCCAACATTTTTTTTTCCCAGGCATATTTTAGTGGATTAAAAGAAAATCACCATAGTTCAAGACTTCCCATTGTAGCACCGACTGTGTGTGTGGTTGGGTGTGAAGGTTCCAGACCTGTGTGAAGTCTTTTCAGATGCCATCTGCCAGTGTGTGGTGGAAGCCCAGTGTGAGGAAGGAAGGTCAATGCTCTGTTCTTTTCTAGACCTGCAGCCTCCTTTTCCACAATGCTTTGGCGTAGCCATCGTTGTGAGAGGTGACACACGTTGTGTGTGGCTTAAAGTCCATGGGCACCGAGGATCCCAGCCTGAGAATTGTCACTACTGCACCTGCTCGGATGCATTCCCCAGAGTCTTCTCCTAGAGAAGACATCAGGTTTCTTCTGTTCACCTGGGACCACCCGTGTTGCCTTTTCTAATTACCCTTCCTCCTGTCATTTCAGGTAAACCTCTTCGTGTTACTCTCTGTGGTCTGTGTCCTGCTAAATCTCGCGGGATTCATCCTGGGATGTCAAGGGGCACAGTTTGTGTCCAGTGTACCCAGGTGTGATCTGGTAAGCAGCCCTAAACATCATTAGGCCTGGGGTTGGAGCCAGGCTTGGCTGCGTTCCTTGTGATGTCCCTTTGTGGCACCTCCAACCGTCCCGCAGTGTCTTGAAGTGGATAAAAGGAGGTAGGAAAACAAAGCTGAGAGCTGTTTTCTGAGGCTTTTTCACTTGATTGTGAGGTAGTATGGCTCCCCCAGAACTCAAAGCCACACGGGTCAGTGACTGAATGAGTAGATGGGTCGCGTCTCCACGGCCAATCTGTCTACCTGAAGACAAAAGAAAAGAATGTTCCAGAATTCAGGCCAACCTCTTTTACCTAAGGAAAAGCCAGGCACTGGTGGCTCATGCCTATAATCCTAGCCACTCAGGAGGCTGAGATCTGAGGATCGCTGTTCAAAGCTAGCCTGGACAGGAAAAGTCCATGAAACTTGTATTTTCAGTTAACCACCAGAAACCTGGAAGTGGAGCTATGGCTCAACGTGGTAGAGGACTAGCCTTAAATGAAAGAGCTCAGAGATAGCACCTAGGCCCTGAGTTCAAGTCCCAAGACTGACTAAATACATAACGAAACCTAAGGAAGCCAGTTGTATGTCAGCGTCTGGAGATTTTCTGACCTTGGAAGATAAGTATGGTGTTTATTCCATTCATTACACAGTGTGTCAGTGGAGTCTGGGATACAACACTATAATCAAGACTTTTGGTTGTCAGAACTGTGGATATGATGTTGTAGACCTGTAGCTTCTCTAAGATAAAAAAAAAATGAGGCCCAGTACTATCAAAAATCAAAATTAAATTGTGGCAAAATGCATGTAAATTGACCATCCTCACCCTTTTGCGTGTACACTTCAGAGCAGATATGTTCATTCAGATGGTTGTGGAAACAGTCTTCAGAACTCTTCATTTCATAAAACAGGAACAACATTTAGCAACAGTTCCTCATCTCCCTGTGCCCAGCAATCCCCAGCAACTATCATTCCACTTTCCATTGATATGAATTCAGATACTTTTTTTTTTTTTGTCGGTTGTGGGGCTTGAACTCTGGGCCTGGGCGCTGTCCCTCAGATCTTCAGCTCAAGGCAAGCACTCTACCACTTGAGCCACAGCGCCACTTCCGGTTTTCTGGTGGTTTATTGGAGATAAGAGTCTCATGGACTTTCCTGCCCAGGCTGGCTTTGAACCATGATCATCAGATCTCAGCCTCCTGAGTAGCTAGGATTACAGGCCCGAGCCACTGGCAACTGGCTCGAATTCAGATACTTTTATGTACCTCCCATAAGTGGAATCGGACAGTGTTTACCTTCCTGTGAGTGACTTATTTCACTTAGTATAATGTCCTCCAGGTGTGTGCGTGTTGTAGCTGTGTCAGAATCTCCTTCATTCTAAAGGCTGGATAATACTCCATTGTTTGTCAGTATGACGTATTTTGTTTATCCATTCATCTGAGGATGGGCCTTGGGGCTGTTCCCACATTCTGTCTATTGTGTACAAAGCTGCTTCAAGCTTGAGTGGACAAATGTCTCTTCTTGATCCTGCTGTCAGTTCTTTGTGTTCTAATACTTAGAAGTGGAGTCGTTAGTGAGAGCTGAACTTTTACAAAAGAACTTCTTAGTAACAAACATCTGCCTTAGGACGAAGCAAAAGGAACGGAGTCCAGAAGTTGTTTTCATTCTCCTCTATCTAGAATTTCATCCACAGTAATCTCACCCTATTAAAGCCAGCAGAAGGAGAGCCAATAAGACTGCTTTGTTTTCTAGCAAAGGTCAAGCCCTTCCAATACCACCCATGACTTTTCCAAGCAGAAAAATGTGAAGGACTCACTATAACCTTTTATTCTTTCTCACAATTCTTCACATTAAAAAACAATGTCATTCTATTGCTTCTTAACTCGTAAGCTGTGAGATCGCAGAGCAGTTCTGTGGGTTATTGTTTCTGTTTTCTTTTTCTGGGACGGGGGCTTGAACTCAGGGCCTAGGTATTGTCCCTGAGCTTCTTTTGCTCGAGGTTAGCACTTTACTACTTGAGCCACAGCTCCACTTCTGGCATTTTTGGTAAGTTATTGGAGATAAGAGTCTCATGGAATTTCCTGCCCCCAAATGGGTTCAAACTGCAATCCTCATGTCTCCGTGTCCTGAGTAGCTAGGATTACAGGTGTGAGCCACCAGCACCCATGTGGTTTTTAAAAGCCCTTCAGGGCTGTGTGACTGGCTCCCATCCCCCATCCCACCTTTGCCCTGCATTAGCTCACACTCCCAGCAATTTAAAATGGCCAGCTAGTTCCTTTATTAAAGGGTTTCAGCTCATATTTCTATCAGCTCCCTTCACCAGCAGAGGGGAGAGAGGGAGAGTGTATAGCCAGTCTCATGAGCTAAAGTGACAGCTCATAGTCGTTGTACTTAGTTTGAAGTTTCCCCAATGGCTAAAGATGGCACTGGCAACTTTAGTGTGTTTTCGCAAAGCCCTCTGGAACATTCTAAAGTGCAGCTAGGGTCGAAACCCATAGTGGTAGGGCATGGCGGGAGGAAGATGAGGATGTGACGGCATCAGGTAATAATATGGATGTGGAGAGGTGGATGGTTATCTTTTGGGGTTGGAGTTCGAGAATCACTTCAAGGGACTGAAGATACTAATGCTTGGGAATGTTGTGCGGAGAGGGGATTTCAAGTGGAGGTGAAGGGGTTTGGACTGGCCAGGAGCAGGTGCGGGCTCAGAGGGACAGGAACACAAGCACACTTTTGCCTATCGTCCTTTTGCAAAGAGCCTCGGGGCTTCCTTGTATCGAGTGGGCCCAGTATTTGGCATTCCAGATCCTTTGTATAATGATTAAACTGTCAAATAATCTCGTCTAAAGGGATTAGCTTTCATTCACCTGGGACTCGTTGCTGGCAGTGCTGGCTCAGCTTGAAGATTCCACATAGCAGGGGCTGGGAAGGTGGCTCAGTGGTAGAGCGCTTGCTTTGCATGCATGAGGCCCTGGGTTCAATTCCTCAGCACCACATAAGCAAAAAGAAAAAAGCTGGAAGTGGCTCTAGTGGTAGAGCGCTAGCCTTGAGCTGAAGAGCTGAGGGACAGCGCCCAGGCCCAGAGTTCAGACCCATGACCGGAACCAAAAAAAAAAAAAAAAGATTCCACATAGCAGACGTTTCTGGGGTCTTGAATCGTGCTGGGCTTGTGTACAGTCCACAGCAGCTGGTGATCTCTTTGATCTCTTTGCACTAAGCGTATGGTGGCAAGAATGGCTTGTGTGGGAAGGTGACACCTAGTATTACCTGAGGGAAGTAGAGGCCTCTGGTGAGCTCTAGCGGTGTTCCCCACGGATCACAAAAACAAACACTAGGGGGCTTTGTTGAAAAGTGAGCTTAGCCTGGTGTCACACCTGTAATCCTAGGTGTTCAGGAGGCTGAGATCTGAGGATTGTGATTCGAGGCCAGCCCAGGCAGGAAAGTCTGTGAGACTCTTATCTCCAATTAACCACCAGAAAACCTGAAGTGGTGCTGTGGAGCAAAGTGGTAGAGCGCTAGCCTTGAGCAAAAGAGAGCTCAGGGACAGCATACCTAGGCCCTGAGTTCAAGCCCCATAACCAGCCAAAACAAAACAAAAAGGAGAGGCTGGTATGTCAGGTGCCAAATAGAAGGAACACAGGAGCGGCTCAGCTGGAGGTATTAAAGCAGGAAGCCTTTCCTAGGGTCCTGCTGAGTTTAGGCCAATGTAAGCACAGCTGTTATAGGACTGTGGAAGAGGACCAAAGGGAAGCCATGATGCTGAGCCCAGGGATAGGTTCCCTCTGCCTAAATCTGTCTAGATAGAGCCGGTTGGAATAGTCCCAGGACTGGCTGGTGTCAAGATTAGCAGCAGGCTGAATCTTCAAATACACAAAACCATGGGTGGAAAGATTCCATGACCAACAGCCTATTGCAGGGGTTACGGAACAAATCAGGATCGAGAGATGTGAGGGTGAACTGATAGACATTGAGGAGCCTTGAAGGCAGATCTAGTTGTGATTTGATGTCCCCGAGGCAGAATTTCTATGTGCAGCCCTTTGAGTGTGACTTCAAGATGAAGAGTAAAAAGATGCTATGGAATCTATAGAGCTCTAGAAGAGGCAAAACTCATCTTCACAACGTGAGAGTTGAGGTTGCCCATGAGGGGCAGGAGCTAGAGGCCAGATGGATGGAGGGGCATGAAGCCTACTTTCTCTCGAGATGATAAGGTCCCACATGCTGGAGCCATGTGATTGTCTTTGGCACAGAAGTCATGAGAGTTCAAGCCCCACAGCCGACCCCCTGTCGCCACCCCCCAGCCCCCAAAAAAATCATGAGCTAAAGAGATGAGTCATTTGCAAGAGGAGAATTTAGGCCGAGGATGCCAGACTTAACAAGTAAAATAATAGGATACCCAATTAAATGTGCATTGCAGAGAAACTGCGAATGACTGTTTTTCTTAAACGACCAACATGCCTTATGCGAGGTTTGAAGCAAATGTATCTTTACACGTGTTCTGTTGCTTATCCCAATTCACAGGTAATTGGACACGATCTGTTTTATCTGCTTTACGTGCCAGCATGCCTTGCTGTTCACCGCTCTGGCATGTGATCGTGACACGCGTCGAGATGGAGAAGGTGTCCTAAAACTGGGTCCCCAGGGGCGTACGGCAAGCAGCGCTCTCTGATGACCCGCTGAGGAGTTGTATCACGCATAGGAAATAACTCGAGTTGGTTAAGCCACTAGAATTTTCATTTTGCTTGTTACTGTGGCATCCTTAACCTGTTCTGACAGATACAGGTGTTGCGGATATGGAACCCTGCCATATCTCATTCTGTACCATTGCTGCTCTGTGATGCATCAAGAATGATGTTTCCCTCCCTAAAAATTAACTCTTCACCGTGCATCTCTCCACTTAAGGTGGACCTAGGTGAAGGCAAGATTTGCTTCTGTTGTGAAGAATTTCAACCAGCCAAATGCACAGACAAAGAGAACTCCTTGAAACTCTTTCCCGTTCAACCTTGTAGTGCTGTTCACCTTCTGCTTAAGGTATGTCAAATGGCTTCCAACTCTTAGCAGGAAATTGACCACTGACCTCCCTCAAAAGGCAGCTATTGGAAATAAATACTCCTAGTCTGTTACTGCATTCAAGTAATTAAGCTTCTGAGAGCAGATGTGAGTGACGCCTCATTAGGGACCCAGAGACAGAGTGGGAAAGAACCACACATTATTGGGTGTGTTATAAATTATGTTCTTTGTGTTCAAGTCTTATAAGCTAGTAAAAAATGGAAATGAGCCTATACATATATAACATGTATATATGAATGCACATTATACTTGTTACAGCTATGTGTGTGTGTGTGTGTGTGTGCGTGTGTGTGTGTGCACGTGCCCATCCTGGGGCTTGAACTCAGGCTTGAGCACTGTCCCTAAGCTTTTCTGGCTCAAGACTAGCACTCTGCCACTTGAGCCACAGCTTTACTTCTAGCTTTTTCACAGTTTATTGGAGATACAAGTCTCTCTGGCCTGGGCTGACTTTGAACTGTGATTGTCAGATTTCAGCCTCCTGAGTAACTATGATTACTGGTATGAGCCACTAGCTGGCTTGCTATAGCTCTTTCCTTCCTTCCTTCCTTCCTTCCTTCCTTCCTTCCTTCCTTCCTTCCTTCCTTCCTTCCTTCCCTCACTCCCTCCCTCTTTCTTCCTTCCTTCCTCCCTTTTTCCCTTTCTCTCTCCTTTCTTTTTCTCTCCTTCCTTCCTTCCTTCCTTCCTTCCTTCCTTCCTTCCTTCCTTCCTTCCTTCCTTCCTTCCTTTCTCTTTCTTTCTTTCTTTCTTTCTTTCTTTCTTTCTTTCTTCCTTCCTTCCTTCCTTCCTTCCTTCCTTCCTTCCTTCCTTCCTTCCTTTCTTTCTTTCTTTCTTTCTTTCTTTCTTTCTTTCTTTCTTTCTTTCTTTCTTTCTTTCTTTCTTTCTTTCTTTCTTTCTTTCTTTCTTTCTTTCTCCTGGGGCTTGAATTCAGGGCCTGGACACTGTCTCTGAGACTCTCTGTGCTCAAGGGTAGCCTTGAACCACAGTGTCCCTTGAAGCACTTTCTGTTTATGTGATACTGAGGAATCGAAGCAAGGGCTTCATGCAAGCTAGGCAAGCACTCTGTCACTAAGCCACATTCCCAGCCCTTGCTGTAGCTTTTAACAGAGCCATTCAATGGCATGCCTACATACCTTTGTTCTGATGATCATTTGTAGTGTGAGTGAGTTGTATGGCCATTTGAGTGCTGCAGTTGTGACAGACTAAGGAGAGAGAGGGGGCAGAAAGTACAGAAGCAGTTCTAGCCTTTTATGTTTGGTTTAATAGCAACTATAATAAGCAAGACAAATTGAAAAACAAAGAAATGATCCCAGTTGAAAGGAAATGTAAAAATAAACCCTACTGACTTGGGAATTAGGTAAAAATTGTACCTGGATCAAAGGGATATAAAGTGAGTGATGTATATGTATATATATATATATGACATATATGTGTGTGTATGTATGTATGTATATATATGATATAAAGTGAGTGACAAAATCAGTTAGCAAACCCTGACATAGTAGCTAATTTTTTTTCTTTTTTATTGGTATTTGAACTTAGGACCTGGCACTTTGCTAGGCATTAATCACTTAAGCCATGTCCATAGGCCCGGTATCTAGTAGCTTTCTTTAGATCTTTGTTTTGGGGTTTATGTATTCATTTGCTATAGGAGAGGAGGAATCCAAAGAGACAGAACTGTTGAAACCTGCCAGCTCTGGGTGAGGTCCTGCAGAGAAATGGCCTGCTTTCTTTGGCTTCGGCAAACTTGCTGAGCCAGGATGTAGTTTGGGGAAAACCCTGCTAAGGAGCTTGCCCTAGAGCTGGGGCCGCTTTTGGAATCGCCGGGGCTGCTATTTTGGGATTCGTGTTTGAGGAGAGATGTCCTGATTATATCCAGCTGCCCTGGCCCCCTGCTGCGTCCTCATTGGGTCCCTGGGGAGACACTGAGCGTTGCTCCAGAAATAGAATCATAAATTACACCGTGTGCTATTCTGCAGGGAGACTGGGAACTCTTGCCCCTGGGGATTACAGACTTCAGAGGAGACCCTCACTGTTCTGCAAAGATGGTTTCTAGATAGTATTCTGATGCTGGGGGGGGGGAGGAAGAAATGCCATTATTTCCCTCACTTTCCCTGGGGACTTAGCTTAAAGATGCCACAAAATCTGTGACGCCCAAGTCCCTTATTAAAGAATGACTCAGAACTGAAAATGTGGAAGAGGTTGTCACTGATCAAGATGCATTGTATGCAGGGACTGTTTTGTTCAGTGGCATCTCCTTTGTACAACTACTTAAAGAGAATAAATTTTTTTAAAAAATCAAGAAGTTCCTGTTGTTGCACAAAGAGCACCGTAACAGCCAGCGTGGATTCCAGTGGTTTCCATGCACCAGCCTCGGTCTAGATCCTCTGGCTCGTGTCTTGTTGCAAGGCTCCTCTCATGGGAAGGGTGTTGACATGATTTCAAACCCGTTTAACATTGCCTCGTGGTCTTTTGCACCGAAGTATAACCATCAGCATCCGTCCTGGCTTGTGTGTTTCAGAAAGTCCTCTTTGCCTTGTGTGCCTTGAATGCGCTCACCACCACCGTGTGTCTGGTGGCCGCCGCCCTCCGCTACCTGCAGATATTCGCCACAAGAAGGTCCTGCATCGTAAGTCTGCGTTGGCTCTGGTGGGTCATCCAGGGCCCTTTCCTTTCGTGCTTCGTGGGGAAGGCCATTGGCTAACTGGCTGTGATGTCTAAGCAGGACGAGTCCCAGATTTCTGCCGAAGAAGTGGAAGATCATGGCCGGATTCCTGACCCTGATGACTTCATACCACCTGTGCCTCCTCCTTCTTACTTTGCCACATTTTACTCGTGTACGCCCCGGATGAGCCGCAGGTAGCGTTTCATCGCTTGCTTTCTCGGTCAGACACTGAGCTGGGGAGGGTCTTCACATTCTGAGCGCTCACTTGTTTCTGAAATCTAAACAGATTGGTTCCCCCCCTCCCAAACACACACATCAGGGTTTCAATTTGTTCCATTTCTTTCTGTCCTTGTCTCTCCCTCTCTCTCCACGTCTCTCTTTCTTGTCTGCTAAGCCAGAGGAATCCCCAGAGAAGTCAAATGCTGACCTAAAGATATTCCTTTTCAATCTCAATGAGCTTTTCCAGGGAAAGCAGATACCCCAGGAGATAAGGGCTGGCTGTAATTTGCCATGATTGAGAGTTGCCGTTGCCCTGGAAACAGTCCCCGGTTAGGTCAAATGGATGTGTCATTCTAACACCAGCAATCATGAAATTCTTCCCAGCCGTTAAGAAATATTAATTATTCATTACAGCTCCCTGGTTTAGAAGAACTAGTCATCACATTGATTGCTCTTTTCAAATTCTTGCTCAACACGTGACTGTTTCTAAGATCTTAGGCCTTGCTCTGTGTAGAAGGAAAGGCCACACGTGTGTTTGTTAGGGCCTCTAGAATTGAGTCTCTTTCAAGAATGACCTGACTGACTCATTTAACACCCATAGGCTGTCTCCCAGGCTGCTTGCTCACTGCTGCTGGGTTACTAAAATTCAAAATGAAGTGGAAATACTTTCTCCCCTCCAACCCAGGGGCTCAGTGGAGCTTATTAAAATGAGTGTTAGGTGGATGTAATAGTTCTCCAAAGAGGGGTTTGGGGTGGGGCTGCCAGTCAGGATGGCTCCCTGGGAAAGTAACCTGAAGACCATGGGCATTAAAAGATGAACATTCTCACACAGTGAACCCAAAGAAGGATACTCCTAGGAGAGGAACACAAAGGTGCAATGCCTTTGTACCTCTCATCATATAAAATAATATTTATTGAAATAGACTTCAGGAAACTATGTTAAAAATGAACTCTACCACATGTGGGTGGGGACAAGAGAGAAAAAATGGGAGAAAACGAAGGAAGGAGTGACATTGTCCAAAAAGGAATGTACTAACTGCTTGACTTATGAAACAGTAACCTCTCTGCATATCAACTTTATAATAATTTAATTTTTTGGTGGTTGTTGTTGGTTATGGGGCTTGAACTCTGGGCCTGAGTGCTGTCCCGGAGCTCTTTAGCACAAGGCTAGTGTTCTACCACTTGAACCACAGCACCACTTCTGGTTTTCTGGTGGTTAATTGGAGTTAGGAGTCTCACAGACTTTCCTGCCTGTACTGGCTTTGAACTGCGACCCTCAGATCTCAGCCTCCTGAGTAGCTAGGATGACAGGTGTGAGCCACTATTATCTTTTTAAAAAGATAATAGGTTGGGGATTTAGCTCAGTAGAACAGTTGCCTGGCAAGTACAAGGTCTTGAATTCAGTCCTCAGTTCTACAAAATAAGAAAGAAAGAAAAAGAAAGAAAGAAAGAAAGAAGGCAAAAAGACCAGAAAAAAAGATTAAAAGAAAAAAAAAAAACTCATGGCAAAATATAACAAGCCTGTATCTAAATATCCTTCCCTCCCTATCATCTCTGATTCCATAGAAAGATTGGAGACTTTAGCTTTATATTCTGAGGCCGTTTGTATTTTGGAATATCTATAGTATGTGTGGCATTATCAAACAAATTTGGTGGCAGGTTTGGGGTTGGGGGAAAACATTTTCTAATGTCCAACTGTATGTGACCGAATGAGGCAAATCCCAGATATGGTTAATGTGCTTTGAGTTTGCAACGGAACTGTCTTCCTGCCCTGCCTTCCCTCTCCACCTGCTGAGACAGAGGCAGATAGGATCAGGAAGGCAGAGTGGGGCGTCATGTGAGGGACAGATGGCCCCAGGCAGGCTTTGGGACAGCTCAGCCCCGCATTGGTCAGGGAATAGTCTACTGGCATTTCAAACATTAGAGGCTAGGATGATTTCCTAGCCTGTTGGGAAATGAGCCAAGAATTACAGATGCTGAGGAGTTACAGCAACAAGATACATATTCTTTGTATTCCCTGGTGCACATGTGCTAAAGCTGAAACACCATCTTCCTTGACTGTGGAGGGTACGTTAGAGGACATTCAAATGACTTTATTTCATGGCTGGAAAGAGAATTGCCCTCTTCATGAAGAATGCTGGCTCTCCAAGGTTGTGGGTGAGCACTGGGTTGAACTAAGAGGAGGCAGCAGACAGATTCAATTTCCTGCAGTGGCATAAATTAGGGAGAGTGACTCATGTGGATGCAGGATTCTGCTGTCCAGCCACGGGTCCTGTAGTCTCTGCCTCCTCCCCTGCTCCAGAAGGACATGGCCTGTCAACTTGGGGATTTCTACCCTTTGAGGACCTGTCCCCCTGAGCCCTGAGATTGCCCCTCATGAAAACTGGGTGGTGAGAAAACCCACAAGATTTCCAATATCTTTGCCATGCAGAATGTTTCCAAGAAGGTGGGAAGAGAAAGCTGAAGCAGAATGCCCTTTTTGAAAGAAGACTGTGCATTCTAAAATGTGGATGTGCTCCAATTGTATATTAAATCACTAGTGGGCAAATACCACTCTCCTGCAGTTCTACTAGGCTCAGAGTGCAGTCCATTTTTTTTCCACTTTAAAGTGGCTGAATGTCTTCCTGTTTAGATTCATAGGCTGTTAATGATATTTTTAAAATTTGGTTGCATTTGCTGAATCAATCAACTTAATCGACCTGATTGTTCAGCCCTCCTTCGTAATTCTTTCTATGATAAAACAGGCAAGAATATGCCTGAATATTTTGTACGGGACTTTTCACGCTGTAGAAGTTGACTGTTTCCTGTAAGGCATTGCACGCTCTCAGAAGAGGTCTGTTTATTTAACTTCTATAAATACAACCACTTTGTGCTCCGGTAGCCTTTTGAGAAAGGCCTTCTCTAGTTACTGTCATAAATAGAAGCCTGATTGCAGTCAGGGCTTTTGTCCAAAGACGGGTTATCTTTGTGAACTGATTTGTGAATATAGGAGGAGGAGTGCACCCCAACTCCAGGCATTCCCATAAATTGGCCCAAGCCAGAAATCAAAAAGGCAGCAATTCTGCCACTCTGGACCCAGTGACAAGGAGCGGCTGGCTGTCCAGTGGACAGCGGGAGGTCATTCTTTGGTCAAAGGCACATGAGTTGTAGCATTACCCTCAGATGAGTTTTCAAGGCCTATTTATAGCATCAAAGCAGAACACATTTTGCATTTCTGTTTGTGTTTCCTCTTCATCTTGAGGCTCATGAGTATGAACCATTGAAGGTTTGCTGGAATCTCTTCAAGGCTCCTTGGATTGATTTCTTACCATATCTGAGACTCCATTTCCTCCTGCAGCTGTGTTGTCATGTGGCCCCTGGGTGGATTATTATGAGATAAGCAACAAAAAAAAGATCTTCGGGTGCCAGTGGCTCATGCCTATAATCCTGGCTACTCAGAAGGCTGAGATCAGAGGATCACAGTTCCAAGCCAGTCTGGGCAGGAAGTCTGTGAGACTCTTATCTTTACTAACTACCAGAAAGCCAGAATATAGAGCTCTGGCCTAAGTGGCCTCAGCACTGAGCACAAAAAGCTAACATAGCAGGCGCCAGTGGCTTATACCTGTAATCCTAGCATCTAAGGAAGCTGAGATCTGAGGTTCACATTTGAAGCCAGCCTGGGCAGAGAAGTCCCTGTGAGACTCTTATCTCTAATTAACCACTCAAAAACCAGAAGTGGTATGGTGGCTCAAAGTAGTAGAGCTCTAGCCTCGAGCAAAAGAGCTTAGGGACAGCACCTAGGCCCTGAGTTCAAGCCCCATGACCAACCAAAAAAACAAAAAAAGATAGGGTGCAGGCCCTGAGTTCAAGCCTCATTATCAGCGCACACACACACACACATACACACACATATACACACACACACACACACACACGTATGTCTAGTCTCTCTATATAAATATATATGTATATATATTTATATATATAAATATATATGTATATATAAATGCATATTTGCACACATGACTACACACATGTAGACATGTACACACATGTATGAATATATGCACATACACAACCAGGTATATGCACAGGTACATACCACATACACATATGCTACACAGGTGTGTACACCATGTATGTACATACATGTATATGCACATGTATATGTATATATATGTATGTGTATATATATATATATATATGCTTGGACTATTAGTCCTTTCATGCTGCTATTGCAGAATACTTTAGACCGAGCTGTTTATAAGGAATAGATATTTATTTCTTAGAGGTCTGGAGGCTGGGTCAGCTGCAGGCTAGAGGCATTGCTAGGTTTGGTCTCTGGCTCCAAGATGACAAAGTGTTGTTCGCTGGTGAGGAGGCAAGGTGCATGCTCAGGAGGCAGAAGAGTGGAAGAGAAAGACCTGCTCCTACAGGCTTCCCGGGGGAGCAGGGGTGCATGTGTGAGGGCTCTGCCTGAGGCTCCTCCCCCCGCCCCCTCCCGCTCTGGTGCACCTCTGCCTGAGTTCCTAACACATGAATTTGGGGACACTGTCATACCATAGCAGCCGTGCGCTACCGTTTTTAGTTGTCCTTTTAAAGTATTCTTGGCCTATGTCATGCTCGTGAAGAAACACTGACTTCTCAATTCTCTCAGGCAGGGGGTTCTAAAATCACTCCTTTAAAAAGCTGTGGTTCTTATTAAGTAGTTGTCTAAAGGGGTTACAGTTCCATACGTCCGGTGGTGAATACAACCCTCTTGACGGTGTCCCCCCTTCCTTCGCTCCCCTCTGCTGCCCCCTCCCATCCCTACCCACACGTTTAGCAGTCCATTTTTTTTTTTTACATAGTATGGATTAAATGTAATGACTGCATTTTCTCACCCTTCCCCCCTCCATTCCTGCGCCTCCTCTCTGCCCGGCTAAAGGACTAGGTGATCCAGTTTCCTGGAGTCCTTAGTTGCTTAAATTGGCGTTTGAAGTTGCAGCGTACAGTTCACACACAAGACCGTCCCGGAAATGCCTTAGAAATGCTTTGCTTCCTCCAGATACCAGCCACCTTCATCTGCTTTCCATCCCTATGGATTACTGTTTGCTCTGTGTGTGTGTGTGTGTGTGTGTGTGTGTGTGTGTGTTTGTGTTTGTGTGTGCACGTGAACACGCATACACACATGCCAGTATGGGCCTTGAACTCAGGGCCTGGTGCTATTTAGCCTTTTCACTTAAATCTGGTCTTCTACTACTTGAGCCACAGCTCCACTCCTGGCTTTTTTGATGGTTGATTGGAGATAAAGACTCTTCATGGTTTCAACTGCAATCCTCAGATTTCAACCTCCTGAGTAACTAGGATTATATGCACTGGCACCATGTTATTAGTATTAGTATTTATGACAGCCAGGCACTGGTGGTTCACTTATATAATCCTAGTTACCTGATATGGTGGGGGCTGGAAGAATTTTAATTGGAGGTCAGTCAAGGCAAAACATTCTCGAGACCCCATGACAACCAATATCTAAGTGTGGTGGTACACACTTGTCACCCAGCTATATGGGAGGCTGTAGGCAGGAGGATCGTGGCTCCAAGCCCGCTTTGACAACAACAATAACAACAAAAACAATGAAAACAAAGACAAAACCCCAAAACAAAACAAGCAATTTGCAAGAACTATTTCAAAAGCTGAGTGTGGTAGCTTATCCCTGCCATCCCAGCATGCAGAAAGTATTAATAGAAAGATCAAGGTCTAGACCTGGGTAAAAAGGGAGACCCTATTTCAAAAATAACTAGAGCGACAAAGAGCTGGCCATGTGACTCAAGTGATCGAGCCCTGCCTAGCAAGACTGAAGTCTTGGATTCAACCTAGTACCATTAGAGTGAAAAAACATGAAAACGGCGGCGTCACGTTTTATACATTGTCACTTGTGTAAGGAGGCATGTGGTTAGGGGGCAGCCTGGATTGGTCTCCCTCTCTTGAACTGTTGTGTGTGGGGCTGAGCGGTTTCCCTGGACTAGAGGCTAAGATAGTATGTCCAGGGCAGCCTGAGGGCTCGTGTGCAGACCTGCTTCCTCATGCCAGCATGCTCTGTCTAGGATGGTGGGTCCCGACGTCATTCCGCTGCCGCACATCTATGGAGCTAGAAGCAAAGGTGTGGAAGTGTTCTGTCCTCTGGACCCCCCACCTCCCTATGAAGCGGTGGTGAGCCAAATGGACCAGGAACAGGTATGTCAAAGCCTCCCCCTCTCCCCCTCTCCCTCTTCTTCTGTGTCTCCCTCCCTCTTTCCCTTCCTCTCTCTCTCTCCCCCCCCCCCCCCCCACACACTCTCTCTGTGTCATGGGGCTTGAACTTAGGACCTGGCTACTGTCCCTGAGCTCTTTTGCTCCACTTCCAGTTTTCTGGTGGTTGATCGGAGGTAAGAGTCTCGTGGACTTTCCTGCCCGGGGGCTGGCTTTGAACCGTGATCCTCAGCTCTCAGCCTTCTGAGTAGTTAGGATTATAGGTGTGTGAGCGCCTGGCCCAAGGCTTCTCTTTTAATCCATTGACCACAGGCAGGAGCTATGGTACATCTTGGAGACCAGCCAGGGAGGTTGTGTCTCATACATCATTTCAAGCTCATGGGGGTCCCAAGAGCAGTTAAGTTGACCATCACAAAACAGCCTTCTTTTTCCCCACCCATCTCCTGTGATGCAGGGGTCTTCATTCCAGATTCCAGAAGGATCCGAGGCTGCTGTGAGTCCACTGGAATTGGCGGACACACACACCACTCAAGGTAACCGACGTATTTCCACTGGCCAAAGCCATGACTTAATAGATTGAAACATGGTGGAATCAACGGCCCATCTGGTGTTCTGTTTGAAGTCAGATATTTTTGGAGCAAATCATTCAACTACATCCTTCTTACCAGACACAAAAATATGACCAGCACTGAGAAGTGAGAGGTATTACCATATCAGTAACACGAAGTAGAATCTTCTGTGAATAACCAAGACAATTTTCAGGATCCTGTGAAATAAAGTCCAATTTGTCATTCCTGTGTTTTCCAATCTATAGTTTTTCTCTGTCTGATTAAAACAAACAGGGGTCCTTTGAAGAAGAGTTAGTTTTCATTTAATGAAGAGTGGTTTGCTGTGGGATCATGCTGTCATTTATAACCTACGGCTCCAGTCTTGCTGCCTGAATGTCCAGGGAATTCTGATTTTTCAATGCTATAGCAAATACTAGAGTCGATTTACGTTTATCCTTGTAATTTAAGGATATCATTGTTACAGCTTTCTCTCTTTGGGGACATTTTAAGTGGCCCAAAGAATTGTGTACTAGGACAAAATTGCTAATGGTAATAAATAATGGATCAACTTTTAGCTATTTTAGATGGAGGTAATTTTTCAGCAGTCATTCCGAATGGGTTCTGTTCACCTTCCATCTTAAAAATATTTTTTTTTTTTGCCTATCACTGAGCTATTCTTCCAGCCCCATTATATATCTCTAAGTAAAATTCAGAAGCTATATTGAATTATCCTCACTATGTTTGTAATTCTTCTGTTAACAGAGAGTTTTCTAAGCCACAATTCAAGCTCCCAAATGATGGATCTTTCTTTCTCTTTCTTTCTCTTTCTCTTTCTTTCCTTTCTCTCTCTCTTTCTCTTTCTTTCTTTCTTTCTTTCTTTCTTTCTTTCTTTCTTTCTTTCTTTCCTTCCTTCCTTCCTTCCCCCTCCCTCCCTCCCTCTCTCTCTCCCTTCCTCCTTCCTTCCTTCCTTCCTTCCTTCCTTCCTTCCTTCCTTCCTTCCTTCCTTTTTCCCTTCTACCTTCCTTCCTTCCCTTCTACCTTCCTTCCTTGTCCTTTTCTTTCATTTCCATTCTTTCTATTTTTTCTTTCCTTCCTTTTTTTATGCCAGTCCTGGGCTTGAACTTTGTTCGGGTCTGGGTCCTATCCCTGAGCTTTTATGCTCAAGGCTAGTGTAATACCACTGAGTCACAGTTCCAGTTCCAGCTCTTTTTGCTGGTTAATGAGAGATAAGAGTCTCAAAGATTTTTCCAGCTCAGGCCGGCTTTGACCCATAATCCTCAGACCTCAGCCTCCTGAGTTGTTAGGATTACAGATGTGAGCCATGGGCATCTGCTGGGTTTTACTTTCTTGGACTGGGAAAATCTGGAAACCAATTTCCACATTGGTTGAGATGATTCATTTAGTGGCCTCTGGTTCATAAAAGGACCAACTGGGAGTTTCCCAGCCTGGTTCTCTGCTCACAGAGAGCCTCCTTCCTATGGAGTAGGTAGCTCCTTCCAAGAAAGAAAGACCCAGAAACCCTGAAATGCCTAGGATGCTTGGGAGAAGGTTCTAAGCACCTTCAGGAAAAACCTGATGTTCTGGCACAGCTGTTTTACTATGCCCTTGGGGCTGTGTGTTTGTTTGTTTGAGGAGACAAGGGGGTAGTTTGAAGGTAGGCAGGTTTTCCCACAGCGCTGAGAAATAAAAACACCCTGGGCCAGCAGCCTAAGTAAATGCTATTAACTCCATTCTTTGTGCCCTGGCAGCTTTGCGTACACAGGTGTTTCCTGCCCAACATTTGGAAGGTTAAATAATAATAATAACTTATGTTTCTCCTGTTAAAAAAAAATCAGGTGGGGCTGTTCCTCCCACAACCGGTGAAGAAGGCACATCTGTATTGAGTCCTCCCGCAAGCCTAGTGCATCCAGCCAGGAGCTGCCGAGCTTTCCCGCCACTCAGGACAAGATCCAAGAGTGATCCTGTGCTCCACCACTGCGAGGAGAGAGGTGATTCCCTTCCCCAGCGCCCTGCAGAGCACCGGGCTTGTTTGTCCAATGGGAAAGCGGGTGGCTCTAGCTAGCCCAGGGCCCTATAAGATGAAGTGGTATTCCGAAAGAGGCTAAGAGATTAATTTTGGTGGTGGTGGGGGGAATAAAAATTGACACGCACATTAGGAATACACAGCTGCCATTCCCTTTAAGACAGCAGAATTACTATTTTCCCCTGAGGTACTGGAGATTGAGCAAGGGCCTTGTGCATGCTGAGCAGGTGCAATACCACTTGAGCCATGAGCCCAGCCCATTTATTTTCCTTTGTGTGTGTGTGTGTGTGTGTGTGTGTGTGTGTGTGTGTGTGTGTGTGTGCGCGCACGCCAATACTGGGGCTTGAACTCAGGGCCTACACTCTGTCTTTTTAGCTTTTTTTTTTTTTGCTTAAAGCTGGTCCTCTATCACTTGAGCCATGGCTCTACTTCAGCTTTATGCTGATTAATTGGAGATAAGAGTCTCATATTCCTGCCAGGCTGGCTTTGAACCACGATCCTTAAATCTCAGCCTCCTGAGTAGCTAGGATTGCAGGTGTGAGCGACTAGCATCATGCTTTCATTGGTGATTTTTTTAGATGGTCTTGCTGTATGCCTTGGACAGCTGGGCTGTGATCCTCCTTCTTGTGTTTTCTTGTGTAGCGAGGGATCACAAGCATGTGCCATTGTGCCTAGAATTGTGCTTCCCCTGTAGCTGGAATAATATGTATGTTCCACCATGCTCAGTCATTAGATAAGATGATGTATCTTGAACTTCTATGCCGGCACTGGCCTTGATCCATAAGCTCCCAATCTTTGCCTCCCAGGTAGCTAGGATTATAGGCTTGAGTTATTATGCCTGGCAGATGGTTTTTCTTCTTTTTTCCTTATTGCCTTCAAGAGCATTGGGTTGCATGCACATGGTAGTGTGTGAGATGCTGCAGGAAGGAAATTACATAGACCCTAGGTCTGAGTTCTGGTGGCTTGTAGCTGGTGGGAAGAGGTAAAGGGGGTGTGTTTTTGATCCCTGGCTTTGCAACTTACTACTTATTACCATCCCTTTCACAATGTGTGAGTAGGTGGAATTATTGAGAAATCGGATCCGGTTTTAAGAAAATTGTGTAGAATGAAGCACACGCACATGCACATTCACACACGCATATTCATGTGTGCATACCCTCACACACACTCATACTAACACCAGGTAACACGGGCACACCCACAATCTCACATGCATGCAGCACCATGCTCAGATACACTAGTGCACACACACACTTGCACACACCCACTCACACACACACACTCCCAACACGATGCTCATACACATGCACATACCACTTTCTCTCCTTCCCTCTTCATTTAATTTGGGTTTTGCCTGTACGTTAATGGTTTTTGAGTAAGTTAACGAGTCTTTTATTTGCCCCTCTGTGTATATGAGTACCTGAATATCTCCCAATATCTCTTCATTCTAGAATACTGTGAAAAATAAAGGAAGCAAAGGAATAAAGTTAAAAAGTTGCCTTAATGCCAGCAACAGGGGACTGAATCTAGCAGTTGTGGCGTCTGCTCTTCTGGGCTTGTGGGCATATTAAGCTTTGGGATATCCTGGCCTCTCTCAAGTCCTGTCTGAGCCCTTCCGCTCTGTTCTGTCCCTCCAACCATGTGTGGTGTCCGCCGGAATAACCACGTGGGAACCTCAGAGCGCATTCCTCGGGTCTCTGCAGTGGCTTCTGAGTACAGAGGATGTTCCCAGCTGGGGCCTGAGCTCCACACTGTTGCTCCTCTTCAGGCTGGGCACCGGGCCTCTGACTTGGGGTGCATCTCCATCTTGTGGGTCTCCCATTCCCGCGGGCAAGCTGAGGACTTGAGGGCCCAACTGCCACCTCCCAGGAGAGCTTAGCTTTCTGCACACCCGAGGGAGATCTTTCTGGAAACCCTTTCCATTCTGCAGCCCCGCAGGGGCAAGAACAACACGCATTTCTCTACTGACTGGCTTCACCGGTGGAAGGCACAGGTTGCCGGCAGTGAGTGCGTGTGACTGCCCCTCTCCCGGCCCATTCTGTCCTTACCCGGGGAGTGTTGTTTGGCTCATGTTTCTGGAAGACTCTTGCTGACTGTCACATACACGTGGCAGCCTGGGACAATCTCTTAACTGTGGTTCAGAGTTCTTCATGCCTATCACTCACCACAGGAAAATGAGCCTCCCTTTCCTCTCCCCGCTCCCACCCTGCGCTTCCTGTCTTCCTAAATGTCCACTTATCAGACCTCACAGGCCTAACTCCCTAGCGTCCGTACATGGAAGTGTGCTGGTAAGAATGGACACACAGAAGCCAGACTGCTTCACGGCGCAATGGCGGCAGCCAGCTGGGCTTTGCTGCTGGAGGTCACCATGGAAATCAGAGCCTGCCATGGATTTCCCAGGCTTTCTCTCTCTTGCCTTCTGGAATGATGTGATTTTTGTCCCGCACCTGTTTTCTGTAATAGTCAGCCATAGACCTACCTCATGGCCACGATGTGAGCATCGTTCATAGAAGTCAGTGCAATGTCCTTGAGGATTTAAGGACAAAGGTACAGCATTATATTCATCCCCAAGTCACGTGTCTCCTCCCCCATTGACACAATCTTCCACTGGCCGGCCATGTTTTCTTTTTCTTGTTTGGTCCATCCATTCTCATTGATCTGCCATACACCACAGAGTATATTCCACCAGGGTTTGCCTTCTGAGTTCTGTACTTTGCCATCTGTCTGCACCTTGGGGGCTGCGCTTTATGTGATGTAGGTTAATGTCTTGGGACCTTAATCTGTTGGCAATGTACTGCAGGAAGTAGGCTTGTGCTATCGTTTTGTTTATTTTTTTCCCCTTTTCATTCTGCAAGAGGGAAAGCATGTGTGGTCATGGTCATCTTTCACCGAGTTTGTGCCTTCTGTCCAGAGGGGCTCAGCCAATGGGTTCTATGGTTTGTCTCTGTCCACAGCCACCCCAGTGCTCAGCTGCGAAGCGGCCACTCAGACTGAAAGGAGACTGGATCTGGCCCTGGTGACGCTTAGGAGAAGCAGCAGACCAAGAGCGCTGAGATGCAGGCCCCGCTCTCTAATCGATTATAGGTCTTACATAGACACCAAGCTCCTGGTGGCAAGGTTCTTGGAGCAGTCTTCTTGCAGCATGACCCCGGACATCCATGAACTTGTAGAAAACATTAAATCTGTGTTGAAATCCGATGAGGAGCACATGGAGGAAGCCATCACAAGTGCCAGTTTTCTAGAACAGGTAATCGTGTTATTGCTATCTGGCCCGACTCTCACATCTGTTTCCCCTGTAGCCTCAGTCAGCTTCTCCCATTTCCTGTCCCCAGTTTATGGTTATAGGGTTACGTCAAATGAGGAAGGGAAGAAGAAGCTCTAGAGCTTGCCTCCTAGGTATGCTCTAGGTATTTTCTACAGTGCTCTCAGGGGGGGCGGGGAGGGAGGGGAAACCTTAGTTTTCTGGAACACTGAAGCATGCCTAGAGAAAAGCAGAGGATATGGGTAGTGTGAGGAACTCGTCCAACATTTGATTTCCTGAATTGAAGATGCCCCTTGATGATCCTGTTTGCTTTCTCTGCCCTTTGAAAAAATGATATTGGCAAGACTCTGGGAGCTGTTCACATTTCCATGAATTGCCTAGTAAGAGAGATAAGCCAATAAGACTTAGCAGAATAAGCACCGATTCCTCCCCATAGATAGAAAAGTCGAAGGCAGGACTCCTGGATTGAAGCCATCCAGATAGAAAGTGAAATTGGGCCCGCACAGCATTTGCTTGGGTCTCAGAATTCTTTTCTTTAAAGTGAAGATACCCCTGTATCTCTGAATGAGTGAGTTTCCTTCTGCTAAGAACCTTCTCTGCACCCCTTTAAGATGGTTACCTGCTGGGTGCTAGTGGCTCACGCCTGTAATCCTACCTGCTCAGAAGGTTTGAGATCTGAGGATCAAGGTTCAAAGCCAGCCCGGGCAGACAAATCCATGGGACTCCTATAGACAGTTAACCAGCAAAAAGCTGGAAGTGAACCCATAGCTCAAGTGAGGGAGTGCCAGCAGCCTTGGGGAAAAAAAAAAGCCAAGTGAGAGTTCAAGGCCCCGAGTTCAAGCCCCAGTACTGTCGGTTAGAGGGCTGGCCATGGTAGAGAGCCTGGTGGCGTGGCAGAGGGTGTTACCTGGCTGCCTGCCTGTATTATGCTAGGTGCCCAGTAAATACTTCTTGAGTTGCATCAGGCTGATTCTCAGATTTGTGCTCCAGGATCCTAGGTAACTGTAAAGGTATCTCAATTAAATCGTCTCTTTACGTTTCCTTTCTGGTCCTACTTTCTACCTGCTGGCCTCTTACTGAAGCCAGAAGCCAACCCTTCTCCCACTTCTTCAGGGGATCCAGGGGAGAAGAGAGATCTGACTCCTTGTGGAAAGAGGCACTTGAACAACAGACCTATCTCTGGTTGGCTCTCTAGAAGAATGATCAGTCAGTGGTTCTGGATCAGACTCCAGGAAGTAGCCTGGGTGGGGGAGACATTTATTTCCTGGTGTCTCTGACCTACTTCAGTTGCTATTTCCCCGTTCCCTTCCTGCGCTATAGCTCCCACAGCCGAGCAAACAAGGAACAAGCATTTGGAGTCATTTCTCAAGGTCCCACAAACTCTGGCAAGGAAAGAAACAGTCCATACCTTCTCAGGGTCTTTGGAAATGACCCGACCCTTACAGCCCAACAGCCCAATAGATGTTAACATCATCAGTGTTTGCTAGCTCCTCAATCAGTGTTTGCTAGATACACACACACACACACACACACACACACACACACACACACACACACACACACACACACACACACACACACACACACACAGACACACACACACACACACACACACACACACACACACACACACACACACACACACCCTCCCCAGGTTAACGGTTAATTGCTGAGATGCTTGGGACTGGCTATACTGTGCTAGGCCTTCTAGTACTAAGTCACACATGGGTTGTTACAATGCCACACCTCTGCCCCAGGCACAAGGAAGCAAGGATTATGGCAAGGGACCTTTTGTTCCTGACTCCACCACCTTTCGCAGCAAACTAGAATGAGATTTTAGAGCCACTTCAATTTTCCCCAACAGCAAACCAAAACAAAAACCCACGTGTGCCAACTTACCTTCCAACTCAGTGAGCATTGAAAATTTCTTCTTCATCAGGAGTCAAGGCCACGTCCTAAAGACAAATAGAAGGAAGGGAATGTTAGCAAAATTTGATATCCCATCTTTTGGGGAGATTCAACTCTTCATGACCTTACAAGCGCAGAAGGTACCAACGCAACATGTTGAGAGTCATCAGAATGCTATTCTGTGATGCTTGGTGGCAATAAAACTCCAATACTAGGTAGCTGTGCAATTGTCTAACCTTGCATTGATTGGACAGTTCTCCCATCAATCCCCGTGGACAAGGAATTTCTCAACCTTTCCCCAATCTTACAGAATAAGTAGTGATATTATCTACTTCCTTTTCTAATTTATGACATATTTCAAAACAGATCCATCAGCAGAAGTATTTTATTTATCTGTTTATTTTATTTTATTTTGTCAGTTGTGAGGCTTGAATTCAGGGCCTGGGCATTGTCCCTGAGCCTCTTTTGCTCAAGGCTAGCATTCTAACACTTGAGCCACAAAACCACTTCTGGCTTTTGAGTGGTTAATTGGAGATAAGAGTCTCATGGGGACTTCTCTGGCTGGGCTGGCTTTGAACTGTGGTTCTCAGATCTCAGCCTCCTGTGTAGCTAGGATTATAGGCGTGAGCCACTGGCTCTCTGCTGTTTATTTATTTATTTTGTGGTAGTGGTACTGGAGTTTGAATTCAGGCTCTCATGCCTGCTAGGCAGTCAGTCACTTGATTCATGCTCCCAGCCTTTTGCTATTGTTGATTTTCAAATAGGGTCTCACTTGATTGTTTTTTGCCTGGAATGGCCTGGTCCATGATTCTCGTATTTATGCTGCTGGCAAAGCTGGCATGGCAAGTCTGTACCACCTGGTCTGGCTTTTTTTTATTGGATGAAATGAGATCTTGTGAACTTTTTTGCCTAGGCTGTCCTTGGCTTGTGATGGTGTTGATCTCAACCTCCTAAATAACTGTAACTATAGGCATAAGTCACCAAGGCCCAGCCAAAACAGTAGAATCATTCTAAAAGTTTTTACAAATGAGGGTTGGAGGCATGGATAAGTTGGTAGTGCACCAGCCAATGAGGGAAAGCTTCAGGTACAGAGTTTGAGTCCTGGTCTTGCACACACAAAAAAGTTTTCACAAACAGATTGTCCTACTTTCTGTGTTGTTTATCAAAGGTTTATTCAATCCATTGGAAGCACCAATGATCTTTGTTGACATTTTTATAAAATCACTACCTGGCCAGACCAATGGTTCTCAAATTTTCAAGAGCATAAATACCACCTGGATATTCTCTGTCTCTGTCTCTGTTTCTCTGTCTCTCTGTCTCTGTCTCTGTCTCTCTCTCCTAATGAGCTGGGTGCTGGTGGCTCATGCATGTAATCCTAGCTACTCAGGAGGCTGAGATCTGAGGATAGCTGTTCAAAACCAGCCTGGGCAGGAAAATATGAGACTCTTATCTCCAGTTCACCCCAAAAGCTGAGGTGGAGCTGTGGCTTAAGTGGTAGAGTGCTAGCCTTGAGCAAAAGAAGCTCAGGAACAATGCCCAGGCCCTGAGTTCAAGCCCCAGAATCTCCCCTCCCCCCACAAATACTGTTGATGTTCAAGCTCCCTTCCAGACTGTCAAAATTGGTAGTAGATATGAATTCTTTCTTCTAACAAGTTCTGTCCCCATCTTGTCCAGTAATGGGAACCCCTGGCTTAATTAGAAGACAGAGACATGGGAGAGAAACTATTAAGAACAATGTTAAATATACACAAGAAATGACAAGTCACCAATTAGGTATGGCAGGTCTACAGTTGAAATGATAGAAAATTTGGAGAATTTCACCGGGACTTTGAGAACAGGCAGTATGCTAAAAAAAAAAAAAAATACAGCCTTCACAATCCAAATAAGTTTTCCTTTGGGCGAACATCCTTTAAACACATGGACAGATACAGGAAACAGGTCCTAAAGGCCACATCTGGAAAAGCTTCACCTCTTCCCTCCTTACTCTCTTGTAGATAATGGCGCCTTCACAGCCCGGTGCTGCCTGGGCCTATGCGCTGCCTTGGCAGAGACGGCCCGGCCTGCTGCACCTGCAGAGCTGTGGGGACCTGAGCACCTTTGCCCCACCGGGGAGGCTGAGAGCCGAGAGGAGGCCCCGGCCGGTGGAGGCTGAGCGGCCGCACAGCCTCATCGGTGTCATCAGAGAGACCGTGCTGTGACCTGAGGAAGGGAGGGAAGGGTTGAAGGGTCCCCCTCTTTCTGCTGTGGAGTTGGGGGGTCCCCTGTGGGGATGCCTCCAAAAAGGGGACATGGCAAGAAAGCAACCATTCCTACTCTTGGACTCTGTCCCTGAAGGGTGGTTCTTCCAACCCCTTTGGGCTTGGGGTACACTGAGTTGGGGGCGGGGTTAGAGGCAGGAGCTCCTCTTGCTTTGCTGGGTCTCTGGAACCTTCCTGAGGCACACCTGCTCTGGGGTGTGCAGAAACTGCATTGAGGAGACACTGCCTGACCCCTTGTGGATCTCCACGCCTGGCCCTCACTGGAAGGAGGCTGCTATTCATAGCCTCCTGCCGCCTTTGCTCAGAGAGGGACTGGCAGGAGGCAGAGGCCGATTAGCTGTCACTGGCTACTCAATCTCTCGGGTTCCGCTCCAGTCCACTCTCTTTAGGAACAAAGACAGGCGGCAACTTGAAATGAAAGGTAATTATGGAGAGGACTCTTGTCGATTGCATTTATGTGAGTTTGCAAACTAGAACACCTAAGGCAGGAGCAGGGAGAGGGGGGAATAAAATGTTTATTTTGGCAGTATTTGAGTGCAGGCAGTATTTGTGTGTGGGCTCCATGGCCAGAATGGACCTTTCGGGGAGAGTTTGGAGTCTGCATAAAGGCTGTGGTCTGGTTTTCAGGGCAGGTGGCTGAACCAGTTCATCACCAGAGCCGCTGAACCCCAAGAATAGCAATGTGTCTTCACGCATGCAGCCAGCTCCGGGCTGAGAGGCTCCGTGGAGCTGGCTTCTAATAGGGCCATGCCCCATGCATGGATCAATTAAGCCATTACAGTCTCTTGGGATTAGTGCCAAGAAGGAAGGGGGTGGTGTGGAACCTGGTTGGACTCAGGTCGTGAGGCAGGTTAGCGACAGGAAAAGAATGGTGAAACCAAGCCCTTCTCCTACCTGGCACATCCACGTCTGCTCGTGGGTCATTAGTGGTCAGTTTGCGGTTTCCAACTTCTTCCAACGTCTGTGGCTGCCTGAAGGGGAGGGGACGCCATTGCGGCTTCTGTTCCCATGAGGAGAACCCGGATCCTCACTTCACCTGGTCTCAGATTGGCCAGCACAGGGGCTGCTGCTGGAGACTGTGGTCACCGCTGCCTCATGCCGTCCGTCCAGGCAAGCTGTGTGTCCCAAGTTCTCCAAAACCAGACAGCAGAACGTTCCCAAGCTCGTGGCTTTGCGTCCTGTCCCCTGCGAACGGGCCTGGCAGAGTGGCCCTGGGGCCTGCTTTCCTTGCAATGTCCCCTCAGGTGTGAGGTTGGCAGGGAGGAGGCGGTGCCCAACTGCGCATGCTTACCAGAAGGACCAGGCGTCTGCTGAAGCTCAACCCGCACGAAGAGCCGAGCAGCGGCTCCAGCCCCATCACACCCAGCCGGGGCCACACACCCAGGTCCAAGCGTCACAGGGTGTTTGGGATACAGAAATAGGTCTTTGACCTCCATCTGTCATTGACCGAAACCTGTTGTAAAGTATAATACATTCCCTTAGCAGAAAAAAAATGGAGACTCACAAAGCGCTACCATTCAATGCAGCCCCCTTCTTTGTAAAAATAGATTTTCTTTTTAGGGCAGTTTTAGGTTTATAGGAAAATGGAGAGGAAGGTGCAGAGATTTCCCAGGGTGTCTTCTGCTGTCTACACGTGTAGACTCTATTAGCGGCATTCCCCAGGACAGTGGGACATTTGTCACCATTGCTACACCTACATGGACCCCTTGATACACCCCATGGCATGTGTTAACATTTACCCCGGTGTGTGCTGTGGGTGTGGATGAGTGTATAATAACATCTATTTACCATGATCATGTCACACAAGCTAGATTCCTTGTCCTCAAAACCGTCTCTGTATATGCTGGGTGCCGGTGGCTCACACCTGTAATCCTAGCTACTCAGGAGGCTGAGATCTGAGGATCGAGGTTCAAAGCCAGCATGGGAGGAAAGTCTGTGAGACTCTCCAATAATCCACCAGAAAACTGGAAGAGGCGCTGTGGCTCAAGTGGTTGAGTGCTAGTGTTGAGCTAGGGACAACGCCCAGGCCCAGAGTTCAAATCCCATGACTGACAAACAAACCCCTCTAGAGCATGCCTGTAATCCCAGCACTCAGGTGGTAAATACAAGAAGCTTGATTTTTTACTTGTGCTGGTCCTGGGGCTTGAACTTAAGGCCAGGGCACTTGCTGTCTCTGAGCTTTTGTGTTCAAGGCTAGTACTCTTCCTCTTGAGCCACAGCTCTACTTCTGGCTTTTTGGTGGTTAGTTGGAGATAAGAGTCTCATGGACTTTCCTGCCCAGGATGGTTTTGAACAGTGATCCTCAGATCTCAGCCTCCTGAGTAGCTAGGATGACGGGCATGAGCTTTTTAGTGTGCGGCTTTTAAATGGAAGGCCCAGCTTGGATTATATAGTAAGATCCTATCTCCAAAACAAAAAAAAGCTAAAAAAACAAACAAGCAAAGGAACAACCCCTCTTAGTGGCCACTGTATGTCTCTCCCTCTCAGACGTTCCTGGAAACCAATTCTTTTGCCATCTCCGAATGTATTTCAAGTTCCTCCTTGGGGGCTGGAGGCGCGGCTCAGTCGGTAGGGCACCGGCCAGTGATCAAAAGAGTCAAATACTGAATTCATGGCCCAGTCTTGGACAAGAAGAGAAAGTTCTTCCTCTTTTAATAGCTCCTCCTCCTCTTCCTCTTTTGATAACTCTTATGAAATCATTCAATCCCTTTGGAAAATGACTTGATTCATTACTCATACAAGTATTCTGTTGAGGTTGACTTCTTTCCCTCATTTTCCCCCCAAGCTTATCTAGGCTCTGGCCCACATGGCTGCGTGCTGGTTTGGGACCCAGTCTCTCAGTTTCCTCTGAGTCAGGGCCCAGGACAGTGATGAGGAGGGAGCGGGTGGGCAGGGGGGCTCCCCTCTGGAATCTCTGGCCAGGAGACTGCTCTTCCCAGAATCCCACAGGATCTGGGAGAACTGGCAGTCACCGATGGTCAGGAATCCAGGAAGCCCAGCTCCAACAAGACCATCTTTGTGTACAGGCAGGCCTTCCCTGAGCCTCTGCAAGGCAGCCAGGCCCCGGGGCCCAAACACACACTCCATTTCTTCCATACCCCTCACGAGTTCACTCAACAGGTATTTATGGAGCCAAGGAATTCTGGGCAGTGGGCCGGGTGCTGGAGAGAGAGAACGCTGAGCCAGAAGGAGACATACTCAAAACACCTGAGCAAGCAATAAACGCAAAGCCCGTCTTCCTCTTGGGGCTGCTGAACAGCTCCCAGGCCTAACGCTGGAGAAGCTGGAGACCAGAGGGACTAGTCCTGACTCAGCCAAAGGCCATCCATCCAAGGGGATGAGATCCCTCATCCCCCAGTTGATGAGAAAGGTCCTGGGCTAGAGACCTGGGCTTGGGGCAGCATGCAGCCCACTCCCAGGAACTCTTAAAGAAAAGCCACCTTGGCCCCCTGGAATGGGAAGAAGGATTTGTGACAAAGAGTAGTGTTGTGATGGTTTGGACCCCTTGGAAAATGGAAAACCTGCACCTGACCCAAAACTCCCCCACCCACCGAGTGGAAGGAGTAAACGACGCAGTACTGTGACCAGAACTGTCTTCAGAAGTTAATGACCCATAATCTAGTTTCCAGCAATGCCCACCTCCATGTCCACAAACCCCAGTAAAAACCCGAGGTCTTGGGACCCTCAGCAATCATTCTTGAGCCTGCCCACTGGCCCCACTTAAGGGTGTGTGTGTGTGTGTGTGTGTGTGTGTGTGTGTGTGTGTGTGTGTGTGTGTGTGTGTGTGTGTGTGAGAGAGAGAGGGGGGGGGGCGTTCAACTAAGGGCCTGGGCACTGGGCTTTTGTTTAGCTCAAGGCGAGCACTCTACCACTTTGAGCCACAGCTCCACTTCTGGTTTTCTGGCTGTTAATTGGAGATAAGAGTCTCACAGACTTCCTGCTCAGGATGGCTTCCACCTAAGAGCCTTAGATTCCAGCCTCCTGAGCAGGTAGGATGACAGGTGTGAACCACTGAGAGTGTATTTACCCTTAGCTTTGCATTAATACACCTGGGCCTGCTGAGGTCTCCTGTGTGTCTCTCATTGAATGCTTTCTCTGAGGAGACCAGGAACCTTGTGATCTCTGACCTGGTCACTTTCTGAGTACATTTTCTCTTGCCTTGGGCTTGTCACTTCCCAGAAAAATGCTCTTCTTATTCCAGCAGCTTGGGCAAGCTTTCTGGTATTGAACCTTGACCAAAAAAAAAAAAATTCTAAGAGCCCAAATTCTGGATGAATCATGGCTCCTCGCTTGCCAAGTGGCTGGAGCTCTTGGCTCTGTGGGAGTTTTTTTCTGGTGTCTTTTAAAGACAATGAGTAAATTCGGATCCAAAAGGAGTACTGTGCAGAGGCAGGGAGACGTATGGAAGAAGGGAATTCCCAGCGAGGAAACTTGCTGGGATTATTCTGCTCTGTCACGAAGCTGCTGCTCTTTCTGTCTCTATGCATGGCCGCGTGGAGAAGTAAGCAGTGTCCACCAGTAATCAGACACACAGAATCGGACAGGGAGCCCTGGTTGGCTGAAGGTCACGTGACCCGCAAAGAGCAGCAGCTTAGTGTGCATCTTCTACTTCTGTCACAGCCGACTCTTCATTCTCCTGTGGATTCTGACTATGGGAAGGTGAAAGAGGCACATCGCAGATATTCATAAGGAATTAAAGGAGTTGTATCATGTCAGTACTCAGAGTCATAATGACTAGTGTTTACGGTGAGTCCTTCGAGGGCTATCTGTGAATTTAGGCCAAGTCATCTTCCCAGCCCTCTGGACAATTGTTTTGTCAGTTCTTATGACTCTGTTTGCTTTCTTTTGTCTTATTACATTGGCTGACATCTCTAGTGCAATGTAGAAGAGTAGTAGAGGTAGAGGATGTTCTTACCTTTTCTTGATCCCCCCACTCAATAAAAACATTAGCTTTAAATCAATGGTTTAGTTACTTTATCGTGCAAAGATACTGTCTTCAGTTCTTATGTGCTCTCTCTCTCCCTC